TACCATATGAGATTGCTCATATGTGGAATCTAAAAAACAAACAAACAAACAAACAAAGCATAAATACAAAACAGAAATAGACTCGTAGACATAAAATACAAACTTGTGGTTGCCAAGGGGGGTTGGGGGGTGGGAAGGGATTTCAAAACTGTAGAATATATAAACAAGATTATGCTGTATAGCACAGGGAAATATATACAAGATCTTATGGTAGCTCACAGAGAAAAAATGTGACAATGAATATATATATGTTCATGTATAACTGAAAAATTTGCTCTACACTGGAATTTGACACAACATGGTAAAATGATTATAAATCAATAAAAATGTTAAAAAATAAAAATAAAATGAAATTCAACTACTTTGATAGGGAGAAAAAAGGTTGAGAATGTCATACACTGAGATAGGAAAAAAATTACTCAGAATAATAATTTCAAAACTTTTTTAGGAGGATATAAAAATAAAGAAGCTCACACCTATCATCAATTGAGCTTCAAAAAAGTGTCATGAATATACAATAGAGAAAAGACAGACTGTTCAGCAAGTGGTGCTGGGAAAGCTGGACTGCCGCATTGTCAGTGGACTTAAGATGAGTTAAGGCCGTGGGACCCAAGGCCACGATCTTGCAGTATGGCAGCTCCTTGTGCATTGTTTTGGTTGGGCCGCTAACCTCCTCGAACCCCACTTCAGCCTCCCTCGGTTGACAGTTGGCATTGTGAGCAGGATTGGGTGAGTGCCCCTTCTGAACACCCTGCCCCTGATGGGGATTCTTAGATGGAAACTATGTGGTCCCCTACCTCTCTGTGGTACCTGGTGGCAGCCTATTTGCTGACATGGGCTCAGCTTGAGGATTGGGACACAGAGGCACCCCTCTAGATGAAGTATGGAGGGCCCTGGAATTGTTAGAAAATAATGTCCCACTAGCCCACCAAGAGGCAGCCAGGTGGGTGGCCTGGGTGTTCTTGTAAGTTTTGCAGTGTGCTACCTGAGACAGGAGAGAGTTGCAGGTGCAAGTGAAGCAGTTACAGTGTAGGGAAGAAGAACTTGAGCAGAGACTCAGCACAACAGAAAGATGACTGCATGGTCCTAGCTCTGCCGCCTCCGAGAGTGGTAACGCCTGTGCATCTCCTGTCCCACTGTCTCCAAGAGCAGTAAGCCTGGCCCCTACCCTTGTTCCACTGCATCTATGGCCCATGGTGAGGCAGCAGGTGGAACTGGAGGAGCCCATGGCTCAGGGGGGAGCTCCTGCAGGACCACAGCAAGTGACATGACAAACCACCTATAAGTCTTACACATCAATGGAATTGAGAGACCTGGCAAAGCAGTGAAAACAATGTATGGGTGAGTCAGTCCCTGCATGGCTACTGTGCCTTTGGGATGATGGGGCTGACCAGACTGAGCTATCTCCAAAGGAGATGGGCCAGCTGGCCAGCATAACAACCATCCCCTCATTGCGGCAACAGCTGCAAACTATTCCCCAGTCTAATGCTGATGCTGGCAACCATAACACTGATAAGCTGGTTGGTGGCTGCTGCACGCACTGTGTGGGACACTGCAGGGGATTTGCCTGAACATGTGAGTAAATGGACTTAGCGCAAGTTGTCCGAGAAATGGGCATGCGCCAGATGATGTTTGCTTTGCTTTTCC